AAAATCCTTTGTTAAATTGATTTCAGAGAAGAAGGGAGAGGGAGAGAGAGATAGAAACATCAATGATGAGAGAGCATCATTGATTGGCTGCCTCCTGCGTGCCCCACACTGGGGATCAAGCTGGCAACCCTGGCATGTGCCCTGACTGGGAATTGAACTGTGACCTCCTGCTTCATAAGTCACCACTCAATCACTGAGCCACACCAGCCAGGCTTCACAACATTAAAAATAAAACAAAACACCTAATTATCAGCTTGGGTCAAATATTCCCTTAGGAAATTACATTAGAACTGGTGCTTATGGACAAGGAGAAGGCAAATAAACCTAATCTCCACTTTCTAATGGAGATGTTAAATAACATTCCAGACTATTTTCTAAAGTCCCTCATACTTTCCAGTACAATTATGTTTTCAGATAACTTGCAATCATCTGATCAGGAACTGTGATTCTTGCCATTCTAACCTCCTTGAAGAAAGATGGTCCATAATAGCTGAGTCCAGGACGACTAAGCTCAGGGAAAGACACCAATTGGGGAACCTGGGATTCTAGCCCTGTTAATAGTGAATATATTTAAAGTGTGAATGTGACCAGAAAGTACAACACAGATGTAAGGGATCCTATATAATAAAAGGCTTATATGCAAATCAACTGAACGGGGAACAACAGGTTGGTATGATGCACATTGACCACCAAGGGGCAGACACTCAATGCAGGAGCTGCCCCCTGATGGTCAGTGTGCTCCCACAGGGGGAGGGCCTCTCAGCCAGAAGCCAGGGTCATGGCTGGCAAGTGCAGCGGTGGTGGTGGGAGCCTCTCCCACCTCCGCTGCAGCGCTAAGGATGTCTGACTGACGGCTTAGGCCCACTCCCCTTGGCTGTCAGTTGGACATCCCCCAAGGGCTTCTGGACTATGAGAGGGTTCAGGCCAACCTGAGGGACACCCCCCCCCCCAAGTGCTCAAATTTCATGCACAGGGCCTCTAGTTGTTTAATAATCCATTTCAGGCCAACCTAAGGGACACCCCCCCCCCAAGTGCTCAAATTTAATGCACAGGGCCTCTAGTTGTTTAATAATCCATTTATTATAAATATAAATTGAGATTTTAGTGGTCTTTAGGGATATTTTCAGTTAGTTGATAACACTATAAATTTGATGTGACAATGGTCATTATAAATGACAGTTC